AATGGTGACTTGGGAAGACAAACGCCATCCCTCCAAATGTCCCCCCTTCCATCTTCTTCCCCAGCTTTACGTACTGAGCACGACGTCGCATGGGGTGGGACATCCCTGTGGTCAGCTGGGGACAGCTGTCCCACCTGTGTCCCCTCCCAGCTCCTTGTGCCCCCCGGCCCACCGCTGGCAGGGAGGTGTGAGGAGCCCTTGACTGCTCAGCAGCAACTGAAACCACCAGTGCGCTACCAACAGTATTCCTCATCCCAAATCCAAAACACAGCACTACACCAGCTGCTAGGAAAAAAGTTAACTCTATCCCAACTAAAACCATGACAGCTAGCCATTAAATCCCTCCTTTTTGAGCAATTTCTTTCTTGATGACAAATTTACACAGTGGTCCAGCGCTTATGCATATCTGTTTTCCTTTTAACTCCTGTCAATGGTCACATTGTGTCTTGAGAGCATTTAGGAGGAAATCAGGACTTTGCAGTTAGGTGACATTGTACCTGCTGTGTCTCACATCATCCTTTGGGCTCACAGTGGGACAGAAGGCATGCTCTGAAGGGGAGAGAGGAGCTACGCCAACATGGGAAGGTGCTGTGCTGGGTTCTCAGGGGAACAAGATGTGACTTCTGCCTGCGGTGGGAGCCACTGGGGTCTCGGCTGTTGGGAAGTCTGATTTCTGGTAGCTGGTTCTCAGGGGGTCCTATCAGCCTTGAAGGTCCCCTGGCCCCAGACAGTCATGGGGAAGCGGCTCAGCCTCTTGACAACTGTGAGGTGTTTTGGTCTTGTAGTTCACACCAGGAGCACCTTGCACAAGGTCCTTCTGCCCATTCCTGCCCCCAGCTGCGACCGGGGCTGCAGGGTCGGGTTTTCTGCCAGTGTCAGCACAGGATTGAGTGCACTGCTGGGTGCCTCTTCCCTCCCTGCAGAGCACCACAGTGACAACCAGGAGCAGGAGCAGGAGCAGGAGCCTTGTTCACATGATGAGGCTTGAACCACATGGGACAGAGACTAGGACAGTGCAGGGGCTAGTGGTAACCTTGGATTTTTAGTAGGGGAAGAGGCCAGTGGCCTCCTGGTTTAATGGCCAGATGCAACTCTGGGATTTCTGCATGGAAGCAGAAAGTCCACACAGGCTAGGAAAAGAAAGCCTGGAGTGTCCCAGCCTTTGCTGACCATCTTTGTTTGCTTTGTACATGGTGGATTTTAATTAGTCCCACATTTCAGAGCACCAGCTGTCACTGGCAGGGGTCAGGAAGATCCTTTTCACCTGCTCTATCCCCTCTGCATGCAGGTTTGGGGTTGGGAAGCAGTTTTGCAGGGCAGGTGGTTGTTACCAGCTTGCTCTGCTCAGCAGCAAATGTCACCCAGGCACTGGCTGCTGCTGGTGGGATGCAGGAGAGCATCAGCATCCTCCTGCTTGCTCTGCCCCACGCTAGTGGTCTGTCACCTCATTGGTCTCATTTATGGCAGTGCGGGGATGGTCCCTGCTCAGGTGAACTTTCCAGCAGTGCCTGCGTGAGCCCCAACCACATGGTGGGAAGGGGAACACGTCAGCCACTGGCTTGGTCTGACATGGAAAGGGGAAAGCAAAATCACAGAATCACAGAATCAAAGAATGGTCAGGGTTAGAAGGGACCTCTGGAGTGCCCCCACTCCCATCCCCTGCCAGAGCAGGGGCACCTCCAGCAGTTGCACAGGACGGTGTCCAGGCGGGTTTGGAATGGCTCCAGAGTGGGAGACTCCCCCACCTCTCTGGGCAGCCTGTGCCACTGCTCTGCCACCCTCACAGCAGAGAAGGCCCTCCTCATGTTAAGATGGAACTTCCTATGCTCAAGTTTGTGCCCGTTGCATCTTGTCCTGTCACTGGGCACCACTGAAAAAAGACTATTCCCATCCTCCTGGCACCCTCCCTTTAAGTATTGATAAGATCCCCCCTCAGTTTTCTCCAGGCTAAAAAGCCCCAAGTCCCTCAGCCTTTCCTCACAAGAAAGATGCTCCAGTCCTCCAATCATCTTTGTAGCCCTTTGCTGGACCCTCTCCTCCCCTGTCCTTGAACCAGGGAGCCCAGAATTGGACGCAACACTCCAGATGTGGCCTCCCCAGGGCAGAGCAGAGGGGGAGGATGACCTCCCTCCACCTGCTAGCCGCACTCTTCTTGATGAACCCCAAAATACCATTGGCCTTCTTGGCCACCAGGGCACATTGCTGGCTCATGGTCGTCCTGTTGTCCACCAGGACTCCCAGGTCCCTTTCCACAGAGCTGCTCTCCAGCATGTCAGCCCCCAACCTGTACTGGTGCATGGGGTTATTCCTCCCCAGGTGCAGTACCCTACACTTGCCCTTGTTGAATTTCATAAGGTTTCTCTCCACCCAACTCTCCAGCCTGTCCAGGTCATGCTGTATGCAGCACAGCCTTCCAGTGTGTCAGCCACCCCTCTCAGTTTTGTGTCATCAGCAAACTTGCTGATGGTGCACTCTGTCCCTTCATCCAGATCATTGATGAATATATTGAACAGGACTGGACCCAGTACTGACCCCTGAGGGACACCACTTGTTACTCACCTCCAACTAGACTCTGCACCACTAACCACAACCCTCTGCGCTCTATCTGTCAGCCAGTTCTCAATCCACCCCGCTGTCCTTTCATCCACACTTCCTAAGCTTTCCTGTGAGGATGATGTGGGAGACAGTGTGAAAAGCCTTGCTGAAGTCAAGGTAGACAACGTCCACTGCCCTCCCCTCATCTATCTATCCAGTCATGCCATTGCAGAAGACTCTCAGATTAGTCACACATGACTTCCCCTTGGTGAATCCATGTTGACTACTTCTGATAACCTTTTCCTCCAGATGCTTGGAGATGATGCCCAGAACAAGCTGTTCCACCATCTTTCCAGGGATGGAGGTAAGGCTGACTGGCCTGTAGTTTCCCGGGTCATCCTTCTTGCCCTTTTTGAAGACTGGAGTGACACTGGCTTTCCTCCAGACCTCAGGAACCATGCCTGTTCTCCAGGACCTTTCAAAGATGATGGAGAGTAGAGTGGCCCAGCAATGACTTCCAACAGCTCCCTAAGCACTCATGGGTGCATCCCATCAGGCCCCATGGACTTGTGGATGTTGACTTTACTTAACTGATCTCTAACTTGTTCTTCTTCAACTAAGGGAAAGTCTTCCTTCCTCCAGACATTCTCTGTTACCTGCAAAGTGCTTGTAACAGGCCTGGATGAAAGCAAATGGAAGCGGATTGGATGGTGTGATATCCCCAAGAGTCAGTGGCTACCTTTTCACTGCTCAAAAATCCTGGAAGAGCCTCAAATTCCCCAGCAATGTTGGAGGAAAGGATGAGGGAGCTGGAGCTCCTGCATGAGCACAGGCAGCAACAGGGGCAGAGCAAACTGGCCAAGCAGCAGAAGGAAAGGATGATGGTCAGAGGAAAGATCACCAATACTTATGCAAAAGCAAATGCAAATACACCAGGAAAGCCCTGGCTTCAGCCTTAGGGTTCAGCAAGCAGCAAAGTGTTCATAAATAGTGTTTTTTGGTACCTTCACTTGCAGGTATTGAAGCTACTGAAACCAAAAAGGAGGAAAAGGTTTCTGCATCAATGAAATGGAAACCCAAGGCCCCTTTCTCCTGGGGAACGTGGAGATAGAGTTTATCAGCTATTACAAGAACTTCTTTCTTGCCCATACTTGGATGATATTAGATCTTTGAGTTCAGTCTTGCTGGCACGTTAATATTTGCTTTACACAAACTTAATCCTAGTTTATAATGCTAGAAATAGGCACCAAAAGTGACATATTCATTGCAGTAAAATTTTATCAGTGTGTACAGGTACATGACACCATAGATCTTAGTGTTTTCTTTACTCGGGATGTGCTTTGAGATTTCTTCTGGGAAAAGAAAACACCACTCTCATCTCACAGCTGGAAGACAAACATTTCCCATCTTGCAGATGCTCCAGAGGCCAATAAGGAAAAGAAAAAAGTCAAAGAGCGGGAGGTAGAAATATCTGCTTAGAAACAAATGTCCATAAAACTGGTGGAGAACAGCTTGCTAGTAGCATGCAGCGGCTGTTCAATAAGCCCACGCCGACACGAGGGCATCCCGGCGGTGCTGGCAGCTGCCTCCTGCCTGCTCGCTGCCCCAGGCTGCCCCTGCTCCGTGCCTGCACCCTGGGGGGGATGGGGAGGCTGTGGCTGCTGGCTGCTGCTTTGTGTTGGTATTCAGGCAGCTCCACACTGCCATGAAGCTGCTTCAGCAACATCTGGGTGAGCTCTGCTGTCAGGAGGTGCAGGGGAGGTCTGCGTGTGTGGGTCCATCCCGGCAGTGAGCAACACCCGTGGGTCCACAGTGTCTGTTCAGAGCTCTGAAAGAGCATCGTCTGCTTGGTGATACCCCACTTCACAGGTCAGACACCCCCAACTTCTCAGACAGGACCCCTATGAGCTCAGCATGGCTTTGTGGCCACCTCGGGGGCTGCAGTTGTGGCATTTACACGGACCTGTCATGAAACAGAAATGCTGGGAATGGGATAGCATCCCATCCCTCCCAGGGTAACAGTCCAAGCATCACATCTCTGCAGAAACGAGAGAAAATGTTTTTGAAATATCATGCAACAGGCATAGTATGTGGGGACAAAAGTCTTCTACTTTCTTGATTCATGTATTAACTTTTTTGGAAATCCTGGTTATCTCCCTGTTTGCCCTGCTCCAATGGCTGAGCCTGCAAGTTAGTGTCCAAGAGTAACTCTGCAAGTGTCTCGGGGTAACCTGGACTTCTCCGTGCGAGCAATATAACTTGTGTTTCACCTTCACATTCATCTCAGCCTTGCTGGGGAATGCCCCATCTCTTCTGAAACTCTTGCTCTCTCAGTAGGTGACATTTTGCAGCTGCTGGTATTATTCAGTTATTTTTCAAATGTGACACTTTGGAAAAGGTTTTTTTCAGTATTGTTTTGCAACCATAGCTCAAAGCTGGCTTGGGCAAGAAGTGTCATTTGTCACCGTAAGTTGTACTGTAGGTAGTAGGGCCCTTGCACAGTGATGACTGGTGGCTCACGGCTGCTTGGTGCAGAGGACATGCTGTGGACCCCACAATTTCTGCACTCTGAGTTGGAAGAGGTGGGAGATTTTCCCAGGACCAGATGTCCCTGCTTTCATCTGAAACTCAGACAGAAATAGTCTCACGTTTCAACTGGCCCAGTCCTGGCATGATCCCTGGACGTGACAAGCTGGACAGTTGCCACCATTGCTTGGTTCTGCTTCATGCCTACAACCGCTATTGAGCCATGCGATGTGTTTGCTCCAGAAAAAGCAGAAACATCCCTGTCTTCCATGGTGCTGGTTTGTTCCATCCAGCTCCTGTCCATCTCAGCAGAGATCCGACAGGAGGGACCCTGGACCCTGCTCAGCTGTGTGATGAGTGGGGCTGTGTCTCCAGTGTTGTGCCCTGACAGGAAGGAGCTCAGCAAATGTCTCCCAACGCCTGTTGGTGGCATATCCAGGAAAAGTCCTGCTTGACACATGGGAAGTGCCTGGATGCCTTTGCCACTCCTGGGCTGTATTTGCTCAGGTCCTGATAAGGGCTCTTATCAGAGCAGATGAACATCCCCTGCTGCGGGGAAATGCCCAATGAGGTTACAGCCCTATTACCAGCAGCTCGTTAACACGCCCCGAGACGAGAACAGGACAGGACCAGCAGCAGCAGTGTCAGCTGCACTCCTCCCCTGGCACTGCGCAGCTATAAATCTTGTGACTCAAAGCATATCTACAGTAACTTTCTGAACACCCCAAGTGTCCCCGTGGAGTCGGCATGGGTGAGTGTGAGCGTGGGGAGCAGGGCAGGGTGGGTTCCCCGGCCCGTGGACCCCCAGAAGCAGTGCTGGTGGAGGGGATGTTGAGAGCCTCCACCCCGGCAGTGCCACCCGTTTGCTCCCATGGATGGAGGACTTACCACAGAGGCAGGACATGACACAGGGCAGAAAGCAGGGGCAGACTCAAGGTCCATGCTGCTCCTCCCAGGGCAAGGGAGAAGGTTTGTGAGGGATGGAGCCCCCAGCATAAGAAGGACATGGACCTGCTGGAGGAGGTCCAGAGGAAGCCACAAAGATGATCAGAGGGCTGGATCACCTCTGCTGTGAGGACAGGCTGGGAGAGTTGGGGGTGTTTAGCCTGGAGAAGAGAAGGCTCTGGGAAGACCTTAGAGTCCCCTCCAGTACCTAAATGGGCTACAGGAAACAAGGGGACAGACTTTTTAACAGGTCCTGTTGCGATAGGACAAGGGATAATGGCTTTGAACTAAAAGAAGGACAATTTATACTAGCTATAAGGAAGAAATTCTTGACTGTGAGGGTGGTGAGGCACTGGAACAAGTTGCCCAGAGAAGCTGTGGCTGCCCTATGACTGGAGGGGTTCAAGGCCAGGTTGGACGGGGCTTTGGGCCACCTGGGCTGGTGGAAGGTGTCCCTGCCCAGGGCAGGGGGGTGGAACTAGATGGTCTTTAAGGTCCCTTCCAACCCAAACCATTCTATGATTCTATGACATGCAAGTCTCTGGGTCTGCCCTCAGTGCAACTCTCTGGGCTGTGTCATGGCAGAGGAGAGCTCAGGAGGGGTCAGGTTGGGGGAGAGGGAATCTGCATGCTGCCCTGTCCCAGGGAACGGGGAGCAGAGGAGGATCAGACCAGTGCTGGGTCATACTTGATGGGTGCAGACCTGCTGGCCATCCTGCAGACCCGGTCACCGCGCCGCTCTGGATGGAGGGACCGGGGTTGTCTCCACCTTGCATCACTGTGAGTGCAGCGGGGAGAGCTCCAGAGAGGCTCAGGGTCCAGGCAAAGAGAGGGCAGGTCTCTGCAAACAGGGTCTACCCAGGGCTGTGCTCAGGAGCAGGAGGGCAAAAACCTGCGGAGGGAAGGTCAGAGTAGCCTTTCCCCATGTGAATGGGTCAGTGGGGGCAAAGAAGACGCTGAACAAAGAAAAACATTGCCGCAACTCATCTCCTTGGGATGCTCCTTTATCCCAGCAGAGCAGGGACAGGTTCAGGGGAAAGGACAGGTTCATGTCTAGCAGACTGTAACTGCGCTTTAGTTCTAGCCCAGTGGAGTCATAAATCTAAGTGTAAATGTGTTAAAAATGTCAGATTGAATTTACTGGTGTATGAAAAGCATAGGTTTCCAATTGCTATCAAAGGTGCATCATTGCAAGGTGTCCAAAAGCCAGATGTTTCACAATCCAACACTGCTGTAACCCCCAGAGGTTCAGCTGTGATACCATCTTTAAATGAATGTTCAGATTTTAATTGTGGGATAACTATTATTATAATTAAGTTGAATAACATTATTATTTTTATTTGATCACAACTTGTTTTTTTTCTTTGGATTTTCCAGAGTCTAGTGGAAAGTCTGAGGGAATACCATATAGCTGTTTAGTGAGCTGGAGGGGCAGAAAGTATTCCACAAGGTTTCTGTTAAAGTTTGTGCTTAAGGATAAACACTTTGGTAAAGTTTCTTCTGATCTGCAAAGGACTCTTTTGTTATCCCTTGACTTTGCTCCCCAAATTTCCCTGGCACCTTAGGCTCTGGCACCAAGCTTGGGGACAAGAAGGAGTCCGGCTATAAGGTTCATGTCAGAAAGGCAACCCCATGCCGTCCTCGTGGGTTTGGGGTGACTTGCAGCTGTTTCACCTCACTGCAGCTGGTTCCCCGTTGCACGTTTTGCTCTGTCAGTGGGATGCTGTATTTGATTCTTATCTTGTCCCTTCCTCTCCCAGCTTCCCAGTGCACTCCTCTCCTGCTCCTTGCCTGTGTGTTGTCCCTGCCTGCCCCACATCTCACCGGGAGTGTCCAAAGACTGTCCCTCTTCAATCAATCTGTCTTGAATAACACCGTGTCTGCTTGGAACTCATTAGTGAACGGTAGGTACATGGAAGGTCTCCATCTCTGCCAGCAGGACTCAGCTAGGACCACCCCAGAGCGGGCTGTCAGGGAGGGCATCTTCCAACCCCTCAAGCTCTCAGCAGAGCCCCAGTATACCTCAAGAGAGATACATGCCCCAGCAAGTGTCACCTGCCCTTCCTCAAACGTCTGGTGGGTGTGGACATGGGACCTTGCAGTCACGGGCCTTTCTGCTCATGTGTAGGTGTGGAGAAGTCCAGAGGGTTTGCTCTGATCCTCTCCCAAAGCCAAGGCTGTCCCTCCTCACACATCCCCTGCCCTGTAGGAGGCCAGTAGGGACAGTCAGTGGGAAGGATGCAGAAGAAAGGAAGGGATCTCCTGCCACCAGCATCCCCAGCTGTTTTGCTTGTCCCATGGCTAAGAACTAGAGAAGCGGTTTTCTCCTGCGAAATACCCTTGTCTGAGGGTACTTCACCAGACTGCACCACTCCCTGTCTCACCCTCAGCCTTACTACTGGGGTACTCATGGTCCCAGGACAGCGAAACACAGCTCCTGCAGTGGTGGGAGAGGATGGCTGATGTCCACTTGGCTGAGGGAAAACATGGCAAACCCATGCCCAGTCTCTGGGGCAACAAAACACCAGAAATAGTTGGAAATGGAGGCTTCAGAAGAAAAAGGCTCCTTTCCCAGCCAGGAGTAAAGGCCCAGAGGTGTAAAGGCCTGACATATTACTGCATGGACTACACTTCTTGAGCCAGAGAATACCTCCTGATCTGGGCTCCAGCTGTCTTTGGTGTCATCCCCTGCCATTTCCAAATCTCCTCTCTACTGTTCTTTTCCATGTTGCAGGTCAGCTCCGGCTGGTGAATGGCTCCAACCAGTGCTCCGGACGGGTGGAGGTTTGGTACCGCAATGAGTGGGGAACAGTGTGTGATGACGGCTGGGACATGAGAGATGCCTCTGTGGTGTGTAGGCAGCTTGGCTGCGGAGAGGCAGTATCAGCACCAGGCAGTGCTTATTTCGGGAGAGGATCTGGGACTATCTGGCTGGATGATGTTAACTGCAATGGGGAGGAGGCGCACCTCACTCAGTGCTCACTGCGGGCTTGGGGAGACCACAACTGCGTGCACAACGAGGACGCAGGTGTAGTGTGCTCAGGTGAGGATGGTGTTTGCATGATCTGTGCTCCTCAAGCAATGCAGGTCTCGTTATCATCTCGGTCTTGTCTTGCAGAACCAGCAACAGGAAGACTATGGGATTCACTTCTATCTTGTTGCACAGGGTCTTATTAAATCACCCTCTCTCCTGCCCCAGGTTTGCCCAAGGACTGCAGTGAGGTCTCCGCTGGCAGCCCCAGTGGCATCTACGTCATCCAGCCCACAGGACTGCACCCCATCGTGGTGTACTGCGAAATGAATGTGACAGACGGGGGCTGGACGGTCATCCAGAGGAACCGGCAGAGCACGGAGATCACCTGGGCTGAGTCCTGGAGCACCTACAAGTACGGCTTTGGGAACGTGCACACCGAGTACTGGCTGGGCACTGAGTACATCCATCAGATCTCCAGGCAGAAGGTCTACCAGGTCAGGTTTGTCATCTGGGATGCTGCAAACAACACCAAGTTTGCAGACTACAGCCTCTTCAGTGTGGAAGATGAGTCCCAAGGCTACCGGCTGAGGCTGGGAACATACTCGGGGACAGCGGAGGATGCCATGGCCTCAAAAGGTCCCAGTGTTGTGCACGACAACATGAAGTTCTCCACAAAAGATCAGGATCTGGACACTTACAGTGGGAACTGTGCCTCCAGCTATGGGGGCGGGTGGTGGTACTCAGCGTGTTATTCTGTACAACTGAACGTGAAGGGGGCCATAACGTGGGGCAGCCTGTGCAACAGGAACTGCAAAGCTTCTGCCATCCTCATCAAACCCATTACCTACTGCTAGGGCTCCATCGCTGTCTGCCTGCCCTGCTTGTTGCCAGAGCAGTGTCCTGCCGGGCCCCTTTGCTGGGGGGAGTGGAGCGGGTGGTGGCAGGGCTCCCAAGAGATTCTTCTTTCACCTCTTTTGCAGAGCTCCTCTGCTTCCCTTGCTGGGTTCTTCCCCTTTGAGCTGTTTTTATTTTAGTTGCATTATAATCAGACTAACACATTGCAAACTCTGTACTTCTGAAACATACCTGCTCTGGATAATAAAATGTGCTTTAGAAACACAATGCCTGGACGAGCATCACGGGAAAATGTCCTTATTCTTAGCTGTATACATAATCAGTCCCTTTCTGTTCAAGGTTTCTGTCACCCCCTCATTAGCTGAGGTGGTGGAAGGATATTCTTTATTTCCTCGCAAATCTGAACCCCACTTTCTGGAGATGTGTCCTTGACACCTACACCTGGAGACATGTTTTCACCCATGCTGGCTCTCGGTTCAGGGGTTGTTAAAAGCTCTGGTAAAATCCCGCGTCTAAAAAAACACCTACAACCTGTAAATACCATTGCCACATCTCCAGCATGTTCGTACAGGAGCAAACAGCCATGCTGGGGCAGTTTTCTTAAGAAAAAAATCTGTGGGGTTGCAGGGAAAATATCAATGCACAGGGCATCACCCAGCACTCCCATCGCACCCAGTGCTCCCAGTGCCTGTCCCGGCAGAGTCCCACGGCAGCACGTTCACGCCATTGCCACGGGTGGTTGTGGGAACAGGGGTCCGGCTCACTGGGGATGCTGCTGTTGCCAAGCCCCGGGTGCTCCCTGGCCTCTGGCCAAAACACAGGTGTGGGTCACCCATGGCCAGCCACGTCCTGGCATGTCCCGGCCACCCAACATCACCCGCTCCAGGGTGGGGAAGCACTGGCCATGATGCAAGGCCCTGCTGCTGCCGGGAGCTCCGCGGCCCCTGGCCCCTGCTGCAGAAAGCCCAGGCTGAGGACTGTGGGGCTGCCCTACTCACCCTGGGGGTCCCCAACCCCTTGGAGCATTGAAGCATCACCCCCCAGCACACAGCCCTGGGCTGCCGAGGGACCCAGGGGATGGGGATGGGGCTCTGAGCAACCTGATCTGGTTGAAGATGTCCCTGCTCATGGCAGGGGGGTTGGACTAGATGGCCTTTAAAGGTCTTTTCCAACCCAATTTATAATAATATCATTATTATAATAATTATAATTAATGTAATTTTATGACTGCCCCAGGGATGGATCCCCCATGACATGAACCCCCCTTTTGGTGACTTGATGCCCCTCAGGGGCACCCTGACCCCCCAGCCCTTACTGCAGGATGAGGATGGGGCTCCAGCTCTTCCAGCCATGGCATGGAGCAGAGCAAGGAAAGAGCGAGTCTCAGACAGGGGATGCAGCACATGGGACCCCTCCCATGAACACAGTGTCCCCCAGCATCCTCCACGGCCCTGGGACCCCAACTCATCCCATGTGTGTGTATGTGTGTGCAGTGTCGTGGTGGCAGGTAGACACAAGACAGCACAGTCTGGCTCCAGGGTTTATTGCAGCTGATATCTCCCTCCATGGGTAGCAGAGCTGTGGGGCGTATGGGGCCCAGAGAGGGATCAGGGCCTGAGCAAAGCAGGGCTACACTGACTGCACAGGGAAGGGAACTTGCACTGTCTCCCCCTCCCCAGGACAGGAGTGGGCGCACCCACCCCAAACCAGTGCCTGTGTCCCAGTGCTGGCCAGCACCACAGCACTGGGTGAAGCTGCCAACATGCCTGGGGCTTGGGGCGATTGCTCCTCAGCCGCAGAGCTGATGTGTTTCAGCTGGTGGCGGTGAGGGAGCTGTGGGCAGCGCAGGACGTGCACCAGGGCTGGCCCAGGGCTGTTGGCAGGCACGGGAACGGGGCACTGAGCTGGGGATGGTGGCACTCCCACAGACTCCTGGGAGGCTGGGAGATGCAGCACGGTCAGCACACGTCTGTGGGTTTGACCAGGATGAGGGAGGATGTGCAGTCACCCCCTGGGCAGGTTCCTGGCCAGAAGATGTATCTCTTGCCATTGAGCAGGACATTTTGGCACTTGTCATACCACCAGCCCCCGTAGCTGTTGGCGCAGTTCCCGCTGTGCTGGTCCTGGTCCCTGTCGGCCGTGCTGAACTTCATGTTGTCGTGTATGCCCCCGTACCTGGAGTGATAGCTGGTCAGATAGTCTTCCCCACTGCCCAGGAACCGGCCCAGCCTCAGCGGGTACCCACTGGCCTCGCTCTCCACACTGAAGATGTCATACTCGGCGTAATGGGTGATGTTGGCTCTATCTTGCACAACGAAGCGGACCTTGTAGGTGCCCTGCTGCGTCAGCAGGTGCAGGTACTCAGTGCCCAGCCAGTGATCGCCCTGCACGTTCCCGAAGCCGTACTTGTAGGTGGTCCAGGACTCCTTCCATGTGATTTCAGTCGTGTAACTGTTTCTCTGGACAACAGTCCAGCCCTTGCCTTCGGTGTCCATGTCACACCACACCACCCGTGGGGGTGACCCTGCCGGCTGGATGACGTACACCCCGCTGGGGCTGCTGCTGGAAAGGTGGCTGCAGTCTGTGGGGAACCCTGCGGCAGCAGATCAAGCAAGACATGAGGGAGCTGTATTGGAGGTGGTACCGGCAGGTTATTGTGGGGTGGGGGTACTGATGCTGCTGATGCTGGATCTCACTGGGCACTCCACAACCAGTGGAACATACTGTCAATGCCTCTTATCCACTGGTGACGAGAGGGAAGAATTGCCCTGCTTTGCAGCTGAGGTTTGAATGCAGAGACCTGCTGTCTCTCTGTGGCTGCTGGCATGGAGACACTTGCACCCAGCACCCTGGAGCCTGGCCATGCTCAGGGATGTACCCAAACCTCATCCGTTGTCCCCCTGGCACCCATACTCATAGAATCATAGAATCGTTTGGGTTGGAAGGGACCTTTAAAGGCCATCTGGTCCAACCGCCCTGCAGCGAGCAGGGATGTCTTCAACAAGATCAGGTTGCTCAGAGCCCCGTTCGACCTACTCACCGCTCTGGAAGCTGTCCACACGCGCTGCGCTCACACAGAGGAGAAGCATCCCCACCACGGCAGGCAGAAGAACAAGGTCCCTCTGGAGCTGGTGTGTCCCAGCCTGGAGCCCTGGGGAGAAAAGTGCCCATCCGGTCAGGATCCCTGCCAGTGGCCCCCGGGAAGCCCGGACCAGGGGAGGTAGAGCCATGGGGCACAGGCAGAAGCAGGGGGCTCCCGGGGTGGTGGGAGCCGCAGCTTCAGTGCAGGCTCTGCCCCCACAGGTGAGCAAGGTGAAGCAAGGTGAGAAATGGCTTTGTCACTCTCCTGATCAGCCTCTCCCCTGCACCAGACAGCAACCTGCAGTCACATTTTCTCATGTTTCTCCTAAACGTGGTTCGGGCTTTTTTTCTACAGGTCTAGAGGCAAAAGGGTATTTTTATGGAAAGGCGTAAGTCTGTGTTAAGGGCATTCGGAGAAAATACTTCAAAGCACTGCAGCTGAGTTTGGTGTGTAAAACCTGGTGCTCCAGGTGCAGAGAATGCAGTCCACAGGGATGCAGGACACAACCCAGCAGCAGCAAAGTAGAAAGGAATGGCTGGGTGGAAAGGGGAGGAGTGGGACGGGCACTGGACATTCTCATCAGCTCCCATTCCCACGGTCCCCCATGGCTGTCACTTAGCTTGGTTTTCTACTTGCATCCCCTGGAGCTGTGAATGCTACAGAAAAGGAGCTGTGAGGAAGAGGAGAACTCACCCATTGCTGCAGTGCTGCTGAGCAGACACTGGGAGCCTGAGCAGTCAATCCCGCAGCTCTCAACTCCATGCTGGCCTCTGTCCCTTTATACCTGGGGCTCTCCCTACACACGCCTCCTCCGTGTGAGGATCTCAGCTTCCCTGTTTGCATGGACAAAGATAATCATTGTGTGCCCATCTGGTGGCTTCTCTTTGCTCAAGTTTACACAAAAAGGCCCTCAGGTTTCCTTTCTGAGAAAAAATAAAGTACTCCAAGCCTCCCAGCTGTGGGACGTTTATCAACTGCAATATACTGGACCTGCCCAGAAGTTAAGTCTTTTTGGAGATCTACCAACTGCTGCAGGGCAATAAAGGAACTGAAGGAGAGGGGAAAGGCAAACAGCAGGGAAGGAGTGTGAACACCAAAAGCATGGTGGAGGCTTATATCATCCAGAGATCAAAGAGGGTAAAACCTATGGGCAGTGGTTTGTCAACAGTTACCAGCTCCCAGCATGTCCCAACACTTCTGCAATGGCTGGAGGTCTGTCTTGGCCTGCTGCCCTGCAGAGAGCAGCCAAGCAGTCAGCCCCAGAGCTGGGCAGCCAACATGGTTGCCTTTTTTGCCCTCATTCAGTAGAGGCTGAGGGCTGAAGGCAGGAGCCTTTCCTAGGGGCCATTCCTGACCCTTAGATGCTTGCGGCAGCTCTGAGCAAAAATAAGCTGAGGGGGTGTCTATGCAGTACCCCTTCCCCTACACTGCCCTTCCTTGGCCCATATATCTTGGTGAGAAGAAACAGGCTCAGGAAGGCTCTGCTGACCTCCTGCTCTTCCCCACTGCATGTAGGGTGGGCATTGCCCTGGCATGGTCCAGGCTGCATGCTGTCTGGGAGAGCATCTTAAATACACTCGTGGCCAGCACATCAAGCAGCAACTACAGCTGTTGGGATCACATCTGTCAGGGGAGGTTTATCTTGTTTCATGCATTACCACAGGGTGTTTCAACAAACCCTCAGGAGTGAGTTGCAGTCTCCTCCTTGTTCCCCTCTTCTTTCAATCCCTCTTTTCCTACAGTGCACCACAAGTTCCTCACCCGTCACCTGGTGGCTGATTCTGCTGGACCCATGTTACGGCATCCCTGCTGGGCAGTTTGTGCTCCTGTGTGTCACTAGTGGTGGGTCTTTGGCTGGCTGCAGTACACTCAGTCTTCTAGAAGGTGGTGCTTCCATTGGCAGCAGGTCCCACTGGGGGAGTGAGGGCAGGGGAGGAGCGAGGAGGCAGATGCGTGTCCCCATCTGTATGGGAGGTTCAGGCCTCTCCTCTGCCTCTTCTCCCACACTCCATAATTCAGCTCCACTTGCCACCTCTGCATTTAGTGCCACAAAGATGATCCAAGGGCTGGAGCCCCTCTGCTGGGATTGTTCAGCCTGGAGAAGAGAAGGCTCCGGGGAGACCTTAAAGCTCCTTCAGTACTTAAAGGGGACTTATAAGAAAGATGGGGACAGACTTTTTAGCAGGGCCTGTTGTGATAAGACAGGGGGTAACGGCGTTAAACTAAATCAGGGGACATTCAGACCAGATACAAGGAAGAAATATTGTACAATGAGGGTGGTGAGACCCTGGCCCAGGTTGCCCAGGGAGGTGGTAAGATGCCCCATCCCTGGAGGTGTTCAAGGCCAGGTTGGACGGGGCTCTGAGCAACCTGCTCTAGTGGAAGGTGTGCCTGCATATGGCAGGGGGGTTGGACTAGGTGGCCTTTAAAGGTCCCTTCCAACCAAAACTATTCTGTGGTTCTATGATTCAGAGCCTTGGCTGGGGTAACTGCTCAAAGGCTGCCTGTGCCCCCATCCCTGCACCTCCAAGGGCCAGCAGTGCAAGGAGAGCTTGCCATGGGTTCCCTGCCACAGGGACCTTTTTACAGTTATTGAGTGAGGGTGGCCCTGCCACCCCAGTGCTCACCAGGGTCACACCCAGTGACAGACTGGCTTTGGTGCCAACCCTTGGTGCCCTGGTGGGTGTGAGGACCCAGCCCTGCCCCTGTGTGGCGTGAAGCCACAGGGCATGGAGGGGCTAGCTCAAAGGGCTGGGAAGACCCTTTTCGTCTTTTTGAAATTTCGCTGCCAGAAACCTATCAAAGACAAATGTTACAGCCCCAGGTTATCTATCAAGGGACTTTGGGAAGCTCTTGTAAAAAGGAAGGTGCTTCATTAAAAGGAAACTGCTGAGCAGCAGTAAAAGTCTAAGAACTGGATCAGGTCAAAGATATTTGTTGCTGTCCAACAACATGACAGATGTTACTGAAACATGGAGTTGGCAAGAATCCTGTTTTTTCTGTGAATACATGTGTAATTTTGGAGCTGGTAATTTTACAAGGGGCTGGTGTAGTGCAGGGGAAGATGTGTCCCTTGTTGAAAAATATCCTCCTTGCTGTACTGAAAGTAGAGTTGTTTCGTCTTGGAGGAACCCAGATCAGGGGCCGGGCAGGGCACAGCAAGGCACTGGCACAGTGGCAGGGTACACTGGCACTGGGACCTTCACCACCACCTGCCGGTCTCCTGGAGGACAGCAGAGGTGGCAATGTCAGCTGAGGATGAAGGATCTGGGGATGAAGGCAGTGTGGGGCCAAGCAACCAGCACCAGTCTTGCGGTGGCACAGCCCATGTGGGTCCCCAGAGGTGCCACAGAGCATCCTGGAGCTGGCACAGGGACATGCTATGGCAGCTCAGTGCCTGCTGGTGTCAAACCATGAATAAATACCTCACCACGGTCCTATATCTGTGTCACTGAGCTGTCAGCCAGCAATGCTGGGCTATGCCACTGCCCTTCTTAGCACTCCCCTCCCATTCCTGTGCCATTTGCAAAGCTGGCTTCAGACTGGAGTGCTCAATGTCCATGAAGCATTTATTCCACTTAACCCACAGCCACCTTGTTAATTGATTCTGCAATTGAGTCTCTGTGATGAGGGCCGCTCCCAAGGTTACCCAGAGCTGTGAAGTCAGACCTAAACCCTCCAGCAGACCCTTGGCTCCAGCACCAGCACTGGACCCCTTGGGAGGGCTGCAGGACCTGCCCCGCACCGGCACTGGGACAGCAGCTCCTGCCCACGCGTGGCTGCCCTGTGGAACCGGTTCATGGCTGAAGGCCAACACCAAGCCAGGAGGTTGCATCGCTGTGGGGGGGTCAGGGCTGGGGACGAGGCCCCTCTGCTTCCCTGGTGTGGATGGGAACCAGGGCGCAGTGTCAGAGAGCATATCCCCCTCTCGGGTGATCCACCATGCTAGGGGTGGCAGACACAGGCTGTCTAACGGACATCTCTGGCATGGCCCAGCTCACAGATGTCACCGCAGGGTTTGGCATCAAATCCCGTAAGTAATAACAACCTCAAGAAAAATCCTTATCAGGAGCATTTGTCACCTTGGTGGAATTTTGTGTGCACATCAGGTGCTGTTTGCTGAGGTTCGGAAGGGACGTCTTATCACAGAAGCGCAACAGCTGGTGCGTGAGGGCAAACAAACCACAAATTTCCAGCCCTGATGACAACTGGAGGATGAGTGTTGTGGTTTGTGTCGGCTGGCCCCACCTCACCCACCAAGCCCTATATAATGGCAGGGTTGGCCGCCCTGCTGCCAGGCCAAACCTGTTCCGCATCCCGCTCCGCAGGGTCCCCGCAGAGACGGCATGGGTGAGTGTGAGGCATGGGAGGGGAGGGGACGGCACCACAGTGCGTGACAGGGCGTCCCTGCCTCCTCTGCCTGCCTCTGGGCTTCTGCCGCCCACACTGCATCTCTACTTTTCCCACCTACCATTTCTGGCCTCGGGATGGTGGGACAACCCTATTCCTGCCGTACCTACCCTGGTCTCTGGGACCCTCCTGCTCCTCACTCTCTCTTTTCTATTCCTGACCACAGGCAAAACCCTCCTGCTCTGGGTGGTGTTGTAAAGGCAACATTTATTTAATTTATATTTGTACCAGAGCCCAAGGCACCAAAAAAAAAAAAGGGAATGGAAGCTAATTAATGCATTAATCACCCATCATCCTCATAAGTACTTCAGGGTACTCAAGCTGGGTGGGCAAGCTGTAGACACAAATCTATGGAGCTGGCCATGAACAAACTGTTGGGGAACATCCTGATCTGGTGTGGTCCAAAGGAGTCAGATTGCTCAGGTTTTCGGGTGCTGGTAGAAACCATCCTTTAAAGTGTAGAGTGCCCTGGCCCAGATGTTAACTGGGATGCACTGACCCTGCAGATGCCCTATTCATGACACGTAGCAGGGGTCTGATGCTGGGTAAACGCTGCTGGCTCCCTGCAGGGTGCTCTCCTGGCGTCCTTGGGCAGTGGGCAGCCTCCAGCCTCTGCATGGTGCCCTGGTGGGAGGGGGTAGCTCTGGGACAACTTCAGGTGAAGCCACTGACTCTCAGGGTACCGCTGGCATGGCGTCCACAACAACACCTTTCTTTCCAAGATCTCAGGTCCCCGTG